TTGAACCCAAATATGTTCATCTTTTTCCCTTTAATCCAAGAGATAGCACATTAACTATCTACGAATTAACAACTCTTTTTCGCAAAACTTATTTTTTCAAATTACTATGGTGCATTTCATCTATACTCAAAAATAGTCCGAAATTTTATTTAATGTATCACATGATTTTTAACCAATAAAATTATTTAAAATTTATAAAAATTTATTAAGTAATTTTATTTAATTCTTCAATTACATGATTAGGAATTCGTCGATGAGATTTATATTTTTTTACAATATATTCAGCTAATTTTCCTGTTATTCCATTTCTATATAAATCCATATAACGCCAAGCTTGTCTAGCATATTTTCTAATTGTAATAAAATCTATTGATTCTAAACCTTTAGGTACTGTTTCTTGTAATCCTATCCAAGAATAATCACAATTTTCACGGGTATAACGTTTTGATGCCCCCCAATATCTTTCAATATAATTTAACTCACAATGAAATTTAGGATAAAAAATACATATATGTCCTAATTCTTCAATTGATTCTTGAAGTGCACATTTTTGTGCAAGAAAATCTGATTGTAAAGAAATAATATTTCGTGCACAACATTTAATTCGATTTGAATTATTTTTTATAGATTGATTTTTACACAAATTACATTCTAATAAGTAATCTTTATCCCATAATCCTCTTTCATAAAGAATTTGTTTTAAACCTTTAGGTTTTCCTTGAAGTGTTGGTATATAATAATCATCGGGAAAACACATTTTTTGATATTGAAAATTTGAACCCCATCTTGTATTTCGCATTTTAGGTTGATTTCCACCAGGTTTAAGATTCATACGGCGAGCTAATAATGCATTAGCATGATATGCTGAATGATTCGAACTATTATCAAAGGCAAAAACTGCTATACAATTTGGAAACAAAGTTTCAAAAATTGGTATTGCCTTATATTTTACTTGCTCAATCAAATGTTGAATTGTCCAATAACCTTCCTGGTTTTTGCCTGGTCTTAAGTAAACACATGCTTCTTTTAATATAGTTGGATACTTTTCAATATGTTCTGAACTTAATTGTAAACGACCACAAGCTTCGGTGAGAAATTCACTAACCATAATGGATCGTCCATTACCTTTTTTTCGCAATGGTAACTCACCATATGGAACCCAAATTCCTCTTTTGCCATCATTAGCATAAAAGATACACTCGTCATGAGTAACCAAAATATGTTCCTTTTCATTATTTTTTAATTCAGGAGGAATACGATGCATATCATCTCCATCATATTTTGCCATAAAGTTCTCATAATAAGCCATTGATTTAAGAAACTCTTTTCGGTATGCAATTACATCATCACGTTCATGTCTATCATAATATAAACCTTGGCGATGTTGTTGATAAAAAAATCCAAGAATATTTAACCATCGGACAGCTGTTATAAGTGAAATTGTTTTTTTTTTGGTGATGCCTATTTCAATTAGGAGGATTTCTTCAACAAACTTCTTGAACTTCTTTGGATTGACTCTACCATTTTGCGATCTTATCCAAGTCTTGCACCTTTCGGCTATATCCTCATCATCAATTAATCGAACAGTTTTTTGATGTTTTCCATGATAAACAAGAGGAAGGTGACCAGTTTTTAACCAAAATGTTGCCCATTTACGAATCAAGGTTGCTTTATAAGAACCAGCTTCAAAAAATGCTATTTTAGCAGCTTCCATACTTGCAATCATCTTTCCTTTTTCTTCACATAATAATCTCCGAAGAAATTCAAACACGGCTCTTTTCTTGTTATATTCAGTGGCTGACATTTTTTTGTGCAATTTTTCTAACTCAGTTTTTAATGCTGTTATTTTTTGCAAAGTGTTCTCGGATGCCCAACCATCTCCTCTATCCACATTGTTTAAAACCTCATCCGAAAATAAACTATTACTGTTAGAATCATCTCGAGAGGAGAAATACTCATTTATTTTTTTTGTACCTTTTGTCGCAATAGTATATGCACCATTCGGACCCCATTTTTCATAATATGTTGATTTCTTTGTTGGCCCAACAAGATAAGGACCACGTTTTTGATTTTCTAGTACAGTATTATCCTTCCAAACTAACTCTAATGCTTGTTTTGTTAGGTGTTCCTTCCGACTTTCTTGAAAATCTATCTCGTCTTCCCAGTTACTATCCTCCTCGTCCCCCCACTCATCGGCTGCTAGATCCTTTTCTCCCCACTTATCGGCTGCCAGATCCTCTTTTCCCCACTTATCGGTCACCAGATTCTCTTCTCCCCACTTATCGACTACCAGATTTTCTTCCTTCCACCCATCGGCCACCGGATCCTTTTCTATTTCACTCCCCTCAGTTGTTTTAAATTTTTTGGATGCTCCGAACCTTCTGGTTTTATTACGTAATTGATTTTTGTAGGCGCGCTTTTTTTTAGAAACGAGAGGCATTGTTGAAGAAGTCGGAAGAATATTTTCTCCCCACTTATCGGTTGCCAAGTCCTCTTTTCCCCACTCATCGGTCACCAGATCCTCTTCTCCCCCCTCATCGGCTACTAGATCCTCTTCCTCCCACCCATCGGCCACCGGATCTTTTTCTATTCCATTCCCCTCAGTTATTTTAAATTTTTTGGATGCTCCGAACCTTCCGGTTTTATCACGTAATTGATTTTTGTAGGCGCGCTTTTTTTTAGAAACGAGAGGCATTGTTGAAGAAGTCGGGAGAATATTTTCTCCCCACTTATCGGTTGCCAAGTCCTCTTTTCCCCACTCATCGGTCACCAGATCCTCTTCTCCCCC